AAAAATAAAATTACCATAGGATCCAGCAATTCCATTTCTGGGTATATAACCAAAAGAATTGAAAATTTCTCAAAGAAGTATGTTGTACACTTATGTTTGCAGTAGCATTATTCATAGTAGCTAAAACATGGAAGCAATTTAATGTGTCCAACAGATGAATGAATAAGCAAAATATGGTTTATACATACAATGGAATATTTCATTAAAAGGAAAGGAAATTCTGACAAATGCTACAATATTGAAAAACCTTGAGCAAAATAAGCCAGTTACAAAAAGATCAATACACTATGAAGGATGGTTGCTAGGGACTGGAGGGAGGAGAGGAATGAGGAGTTAGTGTTTAATGGTACACAGTTTGTTTTATAAGATATAAGAATTCTGGAGGTAGGTGGTGGTGATGGTTGTACATTATGAAAATGCTAGAGGCCTGGTACATGAAATTTATGCACTTAGGGGAATCCCTCAGCCTGGCCTACACCCTCTCACAGTCCAGGACCCCTTAGGGGATGTCCGCCTGCTGGCTTAGGCCCAATCCCCCTGGAGCCCCTTGCTCCTTACTGCCCACTTGCAGCGGAGGCAGGAGAGGCTCCCGCCACTGCCACTGTGCTCGCCAGCTATGAGCCTGGCTTTTGGCTCAATGGCACTCCACCTGTGGGAGCGCACTGACCACCAGGGGGGAGCCCCTATGATGAGCGTCTGCCCCCTGGTGGTCAGTGTGTGTCATAGTGACCGGTCGTTCCTGCCAGGAGTTCTGCCTTTTGGCCAATTTGCATACTAGGGTTTTATTATATAAGATTTAATGCTACTGAGCTTTACATTTAAAAATGGTTAAGATAATAAACTTTATGTTATATATATTTTACCATTATTAAGAAGTTGGGGGGAAAGTAAGAGGCAGAGAAGTTGGAGTATTGAAAGTATTAAATCACATTCTATATGGAAGTAGTTATTTTATATTTATATAAAATATTAAATAAATGTACATATATAAAAGAAGAGTGAACATTTGTCAAATTTATCCAAATACACACATTTATATAATTTTCAAATAGAGTAATTGTTATAAATTATACTTAGTACACTATCAAGGGACCACTAGATACTTTCTTTAAGAACTGATATAAAGGTCAGGACTGTTAGCATTATTATTTACTTGAGATTGGTACTGCTTCTTACTTCTAGAAAGAACCTACTATGATTTCAGTGTTTAAAAAGACATAAAAAATAAACAGACAAACAAAAACAAAAAACATAACAATTTGGGAAACAACAGCAAAACCTTTTAAAGGGAGCTCAGGGAACAATTGTGGTCACTGGGCTTAGCTGCTGCATTTGAGTATCAAATTAGTTTGATACTCAGACTTAATCAAGCATCACACACCCTGGAGAGCTTGTGAACACAGACTGCAACACCCCCCCGCCCCATCCCCGCCCCAAGAGTTACTTATTCAATAGATCTGAGCTGGGGCCTGGGAATTTGCATTCCTTACCAGTAGGTGATACTGATGCTGCTGGAAACCATACTTTGACTGACTGGAGAATGTCTTGGGCTATTGATAAATATGAAAGGAGACGGTGTAATGTGATAGAAATTGAAACAAGACTTAAAATTGCATATTATTTTCCCTAAAGTAGGCACTAGCTGAGAACTTCAGCACTTACATAATCGACTCTTCACATTGTATGGATGCAAAAACAGAGGCCCAAGCCCCTGTTTGGTAGCACTCAATCAACAAATACTTATTAAGCATTACTCTGTGCCAGATAGCACATTTTGGGGGCCTACCATGGTCAGCTACACAGCCCATACCGAGACCTCAGACGTATGTTTCCCTTGTTGGAGACCTAATCCATTTGTTTTCTGATGGTAGACAATCAGACTGTATCTGTTTTAAAAATTAGGAACTCCTAAATTCTCCTTAGCTGTTAATTTTGAGAACTTCCTGGAAGAAGGAGAAACAAAGTTTAAGTGGGTAAAGAACACTTAATAGGTGGTCTATTAGCCTTACAGTTCTAGAAAAACTTTCAAAGCTTATGCATCACCATTTCCTTAAGATGTTAAAATATTTGCCAGTAAATCTTTGTGATTTTGTTCAATCCTTACATGTTTACTGTAAAATATTCATAGCTGTTAGTACTAGAATGAGTTACCTTCAAGGACATAGACTCATGACCCTAGGCTTCCTATCCTCAATTCGTACATCAGGCTTCATCATCTCACACTTAACTGTAAAACCCTGTGACTCAACTCCACATCGTCTGTACACTGTGCTCAGACCAGGACGCTTCCAAATTAAATGCCCTCAGGAAACCTGTGTTTTGAATCGGAGCTCAGGACTTTTGCATTCACTTGTTCTCTGTCTAGAGCAGTGATGGCGAACCTATGACACGCGCGTCAGAGGTGACACGTGAACTCATTTTTTTGTTTGATTTTTCTTTGTTAAATGGCATTTAAATATATAAAATAAATATCAAAAATATAAATCTTTGTTTTACTATGGTTGCAAAGATCAAAAAATTTCTGTATGTGACACGGCACCAGAGTTAAGTTAGGGTTTTTCAAAATGCTGACACGCAGAGCTCAAAAGGTTCGCCATCACTGGTCTAGAGCCTGCATATTGCCCTGCTCCTCACCTGGAAACTTGTTTTGAGAGAGAAAAAAAGGAGCCAGCCAATCTCTTATTGATTTGGTCCCTAATCTGTCTCTCAAAACTACAAAACCCAGGATGTGAAGGAGATTGAAAATGAGCAGTTTTTTCCCCGGACCATTGCTGTCAGTTTTGAATTAGAAGATGTTTTATTCCCTAGTCCAGTGATGGCGAACCTTTTGAGCTCGGCGTGTCAGCATTTTGAAAAACCCTAACTTAACTCTGGTGCCAGGTCACATATAGAATTTTTTTGATCTTTGCAACCATAGTAAAACAAAGACTTATATTTTTGGTATTTATTTTATATGTTTAAATGCCATTTAACAAAGAAAAATCAACCAAAAAAATGAGTTTGCGTGTCACTTCCGAAACGCGTGTCATAGGTTCGCCATCACTGCCGGGCCTAGTCCTTAGTCTTGAGTGATATTTCCTTTTGGTTTTTGGAAAGTTCCACAAGCTACCTTAATATCAATTCAGGTGTTTTGTTTACTTACAGCTTCGGGGATTTTGTTTTGTTTTTATTTTATTTTTCTGATATAATTCACTAAACCTTCAGGATTGTAATTTTAATAGAGGTGAAATGGTATGCAAATAGTTAAATATCTCTTTTAACTTGTATTTCTGGGAAAACACCTGTCAAATTTAACACTGGCAATTTTTTATGCATTGAAGAGATTGATAGTATGTTTGAAAATGTACAGTAAATCCATCAAATGTAACATCTTAATAGACTGTATTTTAAAAATTATATTTTAAATATACTGTAATTTTTTTAATGCAGACATAAGCAATTCTTTATACTACTGAGGAAGAAATAAACTTTCCTGGGGTAATTTATCACCACAATTCAGAAAAGTCCAAGTTTTTGATGGGATAAATCCTAAAAATAATATCCTCATTCCAGCAGCATCCATCATGGGACATCGAGAAATTACTAGCTTTTGTTCTAAGAACACATGGTGTGAATAATGACAGATATAAACAAGAAAATTAGTATTACACCCACAACGCCAAGGGATATACGTAGGGTTTGCCAAAGTCAAGACTTAGCTTGCCAAAAATTAACGGAAACAACAGTGTTGGAAAAAAAGGTACAGAAGAATCAGAGAGGGAAAAGAAATTTCCTGGGTTTTAGGTCATTCTGATGGGATTTTGCTCCACTAGTGCCAAGACTGCACTTGTACATAGATGATGTACAATGTTTGGGTTTGATAGGAAACATAAAATCCCCCCCATTTAAATATTTCTCCATCTATCAATTTCTCTGATTCTGAAAGGCAATATTTAGAAATACAATATGCCTTTGTAAGGAATTGGTGATGTGTAAAGAATACAATTCTCTCTTGGGAACATAGTTTACCCTTTTTTCTTCCTTTCAGCCTAATTTTAGGCGAAGGTGATTGCCAGCTAAGGGCATGTTTAGAATATAAGAAGCTAAAGCAACACAATTTAGAGCATTCATGAAAGTCTAAATGTTAAAAGTAAGTTAGTAAGTAAATAGTCCTCGTCACCCTGGCAACCACCAAGAACACAGGATGTTACACAGGGAGGAGAGGATTAGCAAACATATCCTAAAGGATCAGAGTACACTGAAAAAGAAAAGACCCTTAAAGAGAAACCTTATAATCTTACATTTGAAAAATGAAAGCAAACACCTTCCTATGGCACATCCTGAAAATAACAGAACCAGAACTTGCTCATAAAAATTTGTAACCTGAGTGGTTTTTCCTGTGCGAACAATCACAGTGGTTCGAAACAAAAACTGGGATTACAACAAAGGGCAGGAAAAAGGGTTGATCAAACTTAGTTCAAAAATAGGATTTTTTTGTAAAATTATACTGGATTGGCATTTTTAGTTATTCTAGAAATAGAGTCCCCTCTCTCTCTATGCCCTGCTAAATCAATTTGAACAATGATATCAAACCTTCCTGCTGTGCAAACATGCTGTACAACTTCATGTGCTCATGAACCCAAAGCACACACATGGCCATTAGATATGATATGGCAAGTACATAGCATGCGTGACACCTATGTCTAGCATTTTAAGTTACTCCTGAAAATAACTAGCTCTATGTAGGAATCTATTGAATGTTTCCATAATGCAAATTAAAAATTGATTGGCTTCTATTATCATTGTGAAAGGTTTGACTTTATAACTGCCTTTGTCCATCACAAGTAAATAAGTATGTCATGCCCATATCAACTATAAAGAAGTAAATGGTCTTTA